CCATGAACCATCCCTTGTGGTTTCCTAGGTGGAGACAGCTCCACCTTCTGTATAGTCGACCAATGCCTTTCACTCAGAGGTTTTTTGCCTCAATGGCAATCCTGTAGTCTGCGAATCTGACCTTGCCTCATGGACTTCTGAGCTCCTAGGGGATGTGCTGAAGGCTTCATTCTCGGAACCTCGGCTTCTTTCCCTTGAACCGTCCTCGCTGGACGAGTGCGAAATTCCTTCACACCAGGTACAGCTGGCACGACGACTACTGGGAGAGTCCCTTGCGTGAGCACCTGAAGGACTTTACGCAGGAGTTCTGCATCAGCCTCTCGCACAAGTGAGTTGTGGGTGCAAATTGGTGCTTCTCAAGATAAAGTGTTTTTCCAAAAATGGCTGGCTTCCTGTTGATCTCACTTTGAATACCAACCAAAACGGGGGCCCACCATGTAGAGAGAGTCTTTTTGGTACCCTTTTTGGCGCGTGGCTTAGAGGGCAACCAACAGGACAACCACAAATCCGACCACGTTTGTTTCGTGTTGTTTGCTGACTCAAGGGAACCCACCCCCCTCCCCTCATCTCCCCCAAAGGTCCGGCCCTAGGAGACATGTTGGCCAAGTACAAATCCCGCCTTTGCCAGTTGTTTCGAAGGGTTTCTTTGTGTTTCAAAGAGGAGTTCTAAATGGTTTCCTTTTGGTTTCGCAGTTTCCTATAAGCCAACCCTAAAAAGGGCACCCTCAGAAACATACACGCGTACATGTACCAGTGGTTTTTGTCCGGCACATGGCCCAAGCAGAGCTTTTAGGGACCGAGCCTGAAAAAGGACTCAGCCATTGGCGAGGTCGCCCTCATTTTTCGTGGTTTGGATTCGTCTTTTGGAGGGTTGATGGGACTTTTGGAGGGTTGATGGGAAACCACCCCCGAACCTCCAAACCACCAATCAAAAAAGGTGAATTGAAAAAGGCCATGTTCGGACATCCGTCGGAATTGTTTGAGAGATCAGATGACATGAGGCATTCACTACATCGGCCTTGTCAGATGCGGGAGCTTCCCCAGAAAGTGAAGGATTCTCTCTTGAAAAGGAGGCTTCTTCATCCAAGTCACCCCCCAAAGGTGGCAGGTTTAGAGGAGCTGCAGTCATTATGGAAGCTGACGATCGGAGGGCTTTGGACAACGGTGTTCCTTTTGGGGCCCCCTGACTTCCATGATTGTAGGGTCGGGGCTGATGTCCTGGTCCGGACGCGTCTTTAGCTTTCCTATATTTTCCGCTCGAACCCTCGCGTAAAGTTTCGGCTGGGTCAATGCTGATTCACCAACCACGAAAGTAGAGGTTCTCGGAAGTGCTGGAGAGATGTTGATGTTGTCCAGCAAAACTTAAGCAAACGGATGCCCTCTGGTTGTTTGATGGCTTTGTGGAGAAGCCTCTCATGGGGAAGTTCCTTCTGGAATCATGAAAGACGGATTTAAGATGGGCCAACACCCGCTCCTCTTCGATTGGAAAGGTGATACTGAGTTTCCCCCTACTTTACATCCTGGCTTTTTTAGGCTAGATTTTGAGGCAGAAGCGGATGTCCATGCCAAATAATTTCCATTTGACATGTAGCAGCAGAAGTTGGTATTTGGAGCCCCTCCCCAGTTGCCCTTGGGCTCATGACTCGGCCCTTGGTTCCCTGATTGCTCACTTGGTGTTGGGCATCCGTACCACACCCACCGGCACGGGGACGTCATCCGCGGGATTGTCCGGACACCGGATTGGCCGGATGATTGGGGTGGGGGGCGGATGATGACCGGGGCGTTGTGGGTTTTTTGTGAGACTTTTGCGTGCCGAAAGAAATGGAGGGGGTGAGCCAAATAAGTGCCACTGCCTCGAGAAAAATGGACCCCCAAAACAAAGATGGCAAGTGCTTTCAAAAAGGAGCCCCGCACTTCAAGCCCTCAAATGGCACCTGGAGGAAAGGATTTGCGCCCAAGCCGCCCTCGAGGTCAGGAGACTCCAGGGAGCTGGACGATCAACGAGGGCACCTTGAGGATCAACGCCCAGGAGGACTACCTGGGCGACGACGTGCGCCCTGGCCGCCCCAGTTGGTTGGACACCCATGTAAGCACCATTGGTTGCAGGAGTTTCATCATTGTTTGGGGGGTGAACCCGTTGAACCCCCAGCGTTAGGATTTCAACGATTCTAAAGGGCGTTACACAACGAATGTAAAATTCCTAGGACACCCAAATGTTTGGGCTCTGATTTTTGAGGAGCTCCTTTTCGCCGGGAAAGGGGCGGCGGTTCACCTCTTGGATCCCAAACCGAAGCTGCCACGTGGTTGGTGGCCATGAATACATGTCCACCAAAGCACCTCCTATTCCCAATAGAGTGGGCGGAAGTTTCGAACATATAAGAAGGACAGTGTTTTTTTTCCTTTTTCGATTTGTCTTTGTCTTTCCTTCTCTCTCTCTCTATCTCTTTGTCTCTGTCTCTTTTTCTCTCTTTCTCTGTCCTCGTCTTTCTTCTCTCTTCTCTCTTCTCTTCTCTCTCGCTCTCTCTCTCTCTCTCTCTCTTTCTCTCTCTCTTTCTCTCTCTCTTTCTCTCTCTCTCTTTCTCTCTCTCTTTCTCTCTCTCTCTCTCTCTCGCTCTTTCTTTATCTTTCCTTTTTTTTGTTCTCTTGTTCTTTACGTCTCTCTTCTTTTCTTGTATTTATCTTCTGTGTTTTTGTTCTCTTTCTCTTCTTTCTTTATGTCCATGTATCTATTTTTTTAACCATCTGTCTACCATCTGTCTGTCTGTCTGTCTTTCTTTCTTTCTTTCTTTCTATTTGCCTGTCAATCATATCTGTGTAATCTGTCTAATCCATCTAGTCTATCTCTCTCTCTCTCTATCTTTACATTCATCGACCGATCTCTCTCTCTCTCTCTCTTTCTATAACTCTTTTTTCTTTCCATCCTTCCGATCCATACGAATTCCACGCCCGACCAAACGCGAACCATCAAACACGCAAACCTGTTCTCACGAAAGCGCGCTCGTCCAATGGAGCCCGGCTCCGAGAGCTCGCAGACCGCCCCGCGCAGCTCATCTTTCGCCGTGCGCGGTGCGGGTTTTTTTGTGAGCTGTCCTGTGGGTGCCATGCAGAAGTTCCTTCAAAGCTTCCTTAATTGACACGCAAGTGCATGTCTCATTCAACCCCTGGCGGTAGCTTCGGCTACGAGGTAATGGACGTGGTAAGTGGAAACACCCCCTCCCCAACCCTGAGACCAGAAAAAAGGATTAAAAGACAACACTGCCCTCCTTCAAAGCGGGGGTACCAAGAAAAGGGCACACTGGGTTTCCCGTCCTTCCAGTTGCTCTCTCGTAGCTTATGTGGGTGTGAGTTGCTATTGGAAGCCCTTTGGACTAGGTGGGGTTCATGTCCACCACCTGCTTTTGAGGCAGTTCCCTATTAAATCTTAGGGCCTCATGCTCGACTGGAAACCGACTCCCTGGTTGCTTGGATTAGGAGGGGCACCCCAAAGTTCGTTTTTGCGGATGTTGGTTCCAAGCAAGCTTGGACCAGCCAAAGGGACCCAAACAGACAGGGGGGCCTGTTCACCTTCCAAAGAAACCCGAAACACGAGGCAGATCGAGGCGCAGGTGCGGTGCGGGGCAGAGGGCCTCGACGAGGGCATCTCGGAGCTGTTTCTGGCGACCAAGCGGCTCGATCGAAACCGGCACGGGTTTCGTCTCCATGGTCTCCCCAAAAAAACGAACCAAGAGGGGGAGCGTTTGGGGGAAGCCCTGGTTTTTGCAGAAAGTATCAGGAATCCTACATTTCCCAAAGGGTCGTTGCTTTTTTGGGGGGGGAGTTGATTCACGAGAGTTGTTTCACAAAATCTCACGGACCCTCGTTTGGGGGAGGGGGGGGTGGTGTTTGTGGCTGCTGGGGAGGGGCTATTCTTCTGCCGCGTTTTGTTTTTGTTTGAGGAGTTTGGGTTTGTTTGTTTGCGAGGGTTTCTATTTTTGAGGGCTTTGGCCCTTTTTGGGGCTGGGTTAACGGGAACCAACAGATCCATGGCAAAAATGGCTCCTTGGAAGTGGTTCCAAGGCTTCAGGACTTTGTCCCGAGGTCCAATTTTTGGGTGGATTTGGGATGTTTGGGGGCTTTGTTTGTTAGGGGCTCCAAGGCCTGTTTTGGATCCTTTGGCTCAGCCCTGGCGGAAGGGCGGGGAACCTTGCGGAGATAACTGACAGTTTCCGGGTTCGCTTCGGAAAAAGCAAAAAGATACTTGGGCGCTCCATCGCTGTAAGATCTGCAAACCAAATTGAAGGTTTGTGTTTGGGCTTCCCCGAAAGGACCAGTTTCGGGGTGCCAACCTCCATCCCAGGCCTTCAGATGGCCTGCCACGGACCCCGAAAACTGGTGTCTATTGGCTTTCCGCAACCTCAACGAGTGCACCATGAAAACCAAGACAGCGAGCAAGGTCACCCCGCTTTTGTGGCGGTCACGGTTCGTGTTGGGGCCGTCAAGGGAACTGAGGGAAATTGGCCATGGAGGGTTCCCTGTCCAAAGTCCTTAGCCCACAGAACCATTTGGCATCGATCAGCCTGACTTAGCACAAACTCCAAGTTGATGGTGGGCTGGACATTTTTTCAGTACCATTGATTGTCTTTAGCCAACTGTTCAATTCTTCTGGAATGATCGATATTTCTCAGTTGTCTCAGTAAATACGGCCACGGTCACTCCAGCCATTAAGGCCCACCCCATCCCGTCTAGGGTAAAAAACACGCGGGAGCCGAGTCCTGAGGCTGTGGCACAAGTTCAGGGACGAGGAGCGGAAGTTGGAGCCGGAAGTGAAGAACTTCTACAAGCTCCACAACTTGCCTGACGCTGCGAGTGAGGAAAAAAGGAAACGAAGGGCGGGGGGGAGCTGCCGAAATATGGGGGGGGGGGGGCTGTTCTCGAGTTGTTGTGTTTTTTGTGGCTTGTGCTCACAAACCACCAACCACCACCGCCACCACCACCACCAGCTCGTGCAAAACACGGCCCAGGCGGTCTTTGGCCCAACGCGGCCGCCGCTCAGAGCGGCGTCCAGACCGCACCTGCCGGAGCCGGCGGGGGTGGGGGGGGGGGCCCCAAAAGCAGACCAAATCACCAGGGGTTGTGGAAAGAAAGGCTGTTGCTTTTGGGATTGTTTAATAACCGTGTTATTATGATTATTGTCATGTTCACAAAAACGAGATGATTCACAGGCTATTCACCAGGAACAGCCATGAAAATGAGCAGTGTTGCCTTCCGGATGCCCCAAGATGTAAGGAGCCCGGTGGCCAACCAACCGATGAGGATTTTTTTACACCGCCTTTTTGGTTGCCAATTCAGGTGAGTTTCCTTTTAATTTGGTGACGTTTAAAGGAGACATAGGGAACCGTGGCAAAAAAGGGGCCCAACAAACGGTTTCCTTCCGGCTTCCCTTTGGAGCAAGGAACCTGAAAGAGGACATGTGCGTCCCACAAATTGCGCTTGTCCTTCCAGACTTCCTTTAGGCCAACAAGCTGACATGGAATCTGAAAGAGGGTCCCTGCTCTCCAACAATTCTTCCACTTCGGTGAGCGCCAAGTTGACGGAGGTTCACCCGTCAAAACAAGTTGAACGGGTGGGGCTCCGAGCCCCTCACGAATCCCCTTTCAGATTCCGTGATGCGAGCGTGCACTTGCACCCCTTTGCTTTCTGAACACCGTGGGTTTGGAAGCAAACCGAAAGGAAGCGGAAGGTGCACTTTTATGAGCGGAGTTTGAATAATAGCCTGTTCATGGTGAAAAAGGGGCTTGTTCCTTGATTGCTAGTGGGTTGGATCTTTAGACTTCAACTTTTGGTTGAATTCAAGCTGGTTTTCCGAAGTACACCCACAGAAAGTAAAACCTTTTGCAAAGTGGTTTTGCCACAATCAAAACTGGGGAAGGACTCTTCCAGCCATAGCTGCGGCGAAAACGCCGTTGCCGTTTCTGCCAGAACCTTAGGTTTGAGTAGAACCTTGGCATATCAGGTTTGGCTTGAGTCGGAAGACGAAACGAGAGGAGTCTGCTTTTGTGTTGCCACCTTTGCGTTTCCTTTTGATATTTGATCCTAGGAGAAGCTGAAGTCAACCTATCCTCAGTATCCATGAGGCTCGTTGTTTCCCCCCAGGGAGTTGTTTGTGTGAAAGCAACCAGGACTTCAAGGTATTTGAAAAGTGCGTGTAAAGCTACGTGTGGCACAAGATAGGCGGTTGCCCCCCAAAAATGCCATCGGACTGGAGATCCTTTTTCCCGGATACGCAAGCCCCTTACTGGGAACTCAGGACCCAGGATTAAGAAGCCTCAGGTGGATTGACGGCGCAGCGCCTTGTCGGAGAGGGGGTCCTTCACTTTTTCTTGGGAGGAACATCCTGAGTTTTCTGCTGTTCATCTTTTGAGGTTCACTATAGATGATGCGGAATCTAAAGACATGGTTGCTTGCTTGGGATTCGGGCTGCTGGCATTTCGTCTGTGAATGTGTAAGTTTGCTGCCCGGCACAGACATCATTCGCAGGACATGGGAGTGGGGGCTACCCTCTTTCCAAACAACGGCAGTGGACGTTTTAGTGTCTGTTCAAAAGGATAGTCTTCCATAGCCCGGTCCACTTAGACAACATTTTAGATGCCCAACTGTGGATCCCACCAAATGCTGCACTCTTACACTCTGGTCCAGCCGTTGAGCTGGAATCAGAGACATCCAAACCGGACCGTAAAACATCCATCCAAACCCAACGACCTCGGAGAGGGTAGCTTTCAGCTGTTCAAAACATCGAAGGTCCCAACCAAAGCCTATGGCAAGTGGAGGTCAATTTCTGGTCGTAATTTATGATTATTATTATCATTATTTATTGTTATTATTGTATTAGTATTATGAGTATTATTATTATTAGAATTATTATTCTTATCATTTGTGTTACCAATTGTTTTATTGTGATCTTGATCAGACTGTGTTGTATGTTGACTATTTTGGCGTTCCTTCCGCCACCTCAACCCCTGGCCAGGCGCCGGTGCTCTCGGCGGCTCTGGGCGGAGTGGACGTGGCGCTGGGCCTCGGACTTCGCTCCCAGGCGGGGCGAGTGGCTTTGGGGGGGGTCTTTGGTTGGAGTTGGCACCCCTTTTGTTGGGTGTTCAAGGGAAACCGCGGGAAAACCACCCGTTGTTTGTTGTCTTTTTGTTTTTGTGGTTGTTGTTTTGGTTTTTGTTTTTGTTTTGGGGGGGGGGTCCGACCATAAAAACAGGCAGATCCGTGTGTGCCCTTAGCGGCGCGACATCTTTTGGGGTTGGGGGACGCTGATTCGTTCAAAGGCAAAGTCTCCTTGCAGTCAATACCAAACCATCAATCAAGACACCGTGCGTCTGAACGAAATCCACCTGTCTGCTACACAGTGTTCAAGCCTTTCTTGCAAATGTCAAACACACCAAAGGCACCCCACTCAAACCGACAAACCCAAAACGAAAACACGCGACGCAGGAAAGAAGCAACCCACCGACTTCAACTCTTACCGTATTGCTCTTCTCCCTTCCCCCCCCCCCAAACAAAGCAAAAGAACAGGGGCGTTCCAACTTTTTTTGCCAGGCTCTCGCGGCAGTGCACAGCAAGCGGAGTCGTTTGCAGGCGGAGATGAGGAGCGGGCGGCGAGAGGTCTTTTTGGGGGCGGTTTGGGACTTGGAGTCAAACCTCGGGAATTCCAGGGTTCCATGTCCATATGTTTCTTCAAACATCATCCCTTTTTGAAAACCATGGCAAATGTGGGGGACCTTGATTTTTGCGCTCTTCCGTTGCTTTTAGGCGCCCCGAAACTTACGGCCCTGTCAGAGTTCGGGCGCTTTTAGTAAGCCAAAGGGAAGCAACGTCATGATGCCATGGGGACCGAATCCTATGAGAGACCACCATCAAGATGTATCAACTTCCTCGAGGGAATTCTGTTCGCTTTCGGTTCATTCCCAGAAGCCCCGATGCACTCGAAGCAAGACCGTGGGAACCTGGGCGCGATGTTGGTCGTTGATTTGCCCAAAGGAACCCCAAGGATGGGGGATTTTCCCAGACCCCGTAGTGATCGCACCCAACGTTCAAGTTCATTCAGATGTAACCATGACAGTTCAAACTATTGGCCCTCAGAGGGGGGGTGGGCAACCATGTGCTTCAGCGCGATGTGAATGTCCTTGTTTGGAAACCCAAGCTTCAAGTGCGTGTTGTGGTTGACGTTTGGGGAAGCATGGATTAAACCAAGATTTTCCCGTGGAGGCGTCACTTGAAAAAATGACACGTCCAGACAAGGACATGTTGTTACTCTTGGTATGGCGAACTAAGTTCTGCCGGCGCAAGGTTGAGCTGTTTAATTAGCGCCCATAGTGGTTAAGCTGAAAAATGGGGGGTCTACAATCACATTCAGAATTGGCAGGGAAAAAGGGGGGGTATATATAACGCTACAATATGGCCATGGTTCAAAACCAATGGTACCATTTTGGGGTAGGTGCACCACCCAGGCTAGTCGATTTTAGTGGGGATTGGGATGTTCTCTCGGGGGTACAATTTGGGTTTTGACCCATGGCCATATGAGCGTGATTGGCGTTTTCGTGGTTGTCTTCTCCGGGTAGCCTCCCTGGGCCTGACAAACCAGGAGAGGCACTACGGAGGACCGGCGAAGCGGTCGTTGGGTGAAGTCATTTCGGTGGTTCCCGCATCTTTGGTTTGACTTGAATATTTTCGGGTCGCATTGATGCTGATAACATGGTTTCCCCTCTTTCGTTGGTTTTCCTGATGTTCCAGCTTGATAACATGTGTTCTCTTGGTTCATTGCTTTGTCTTGTGGTTGTTTCTCCATGATTCCTGCTGTTGTCCATCTCCATTTCTTTGTTGTCCTTTGGTGTGAACAAGGGTAAATTTGACAAGTTGTCTCCAAGTGAGTTGGGGAATCCTCTCCAAGTGCCTTTTCGACTTTGTCAATGCAGTCGGTTCCTTTTCAAGTTTGATCTCCTATGCATGGCGCGGAGGGCGCCCTATAGGAGAACCTCCCGCCCTGGATGGAGATTGTCGAGACCTTCCCGCGAATCTGACAGTCAACCGGAGCCTTTGTTCACTGAGATCAAAGTTGGACAACTGAAGGCGTTTTTGTTTTTTGGCACGGCTCCAGGGAGTCCAATTTCCGGTCCAACTGCAAACAAAGGCCCGAGATGAACCATCACCACTCACACAGATACTCCTGAAGTCGGAAGTCGCACGGCACCGTGTTCTTCCGGTCCGTCGCGCCAGGCAGTAAGCCCGGTGCGGCAATGCGCCGCAAAAGCCTTGCCGACCAGGCTCGGACTCGCGACTCACCGGAGAGGGAAAACCCCGTCACTCGAAATGGGGTGGGGGGGGGGTACTGGTTCTGAGAAAAGACCTGTTTGGGGGCGCACCTAGTTCGACACGTCCAAATTTAGGGATCCCTTAATTCAAGACGGACCCAGATGGGTTCCCAGAAATCGGGGCCACCTGCTGGCTGGTCTTTGATATTTTATGCGCATCCCATTTGGCCGTTGAAGATACCCCCTGTTGGTTGTTTCCAGGGGAAACCACAGGGCAACCATTCATATTGGGGGCCCCATATTTTGGACACCACCCCCAGCTGCATTTCGTTGGAGCTTCATCCAGTGGAAGAGATGGAACCGGGGAAACCAAAGCCAACGAAAGCCAGGTGCAACATGGGGGAGTTGGGTTGCCACTTGAGCCCAGAGAAAGCTGGCGGTTTCAAAACATCTTTGGGAAGTCTGCACCAGTTGCTTGAAATAAGTTGGGGCTCCACAGGTTGCAGCTTGGTTCAAACTATTTACCCTCCCTCCCACCGTGGCACCTATGGGGATCTACCTGGTAGATGAATGTCCAGTTGAAGGGACCCCCTGTCAGGTGCCATGTTATTTGGAGGCAGGGCTCCAGTGCCATGTTTGACCAAAAGGACAGCCCTGGTCTGAGAAAAGGTGTGCGCGTGGACTGCCAGGATTGGTGGAGGTGGCATACTGCGACAAGCCGCGCGATCAGGTTCGGCATGTGACCGGGAGAACCTTACGTCGACGTGGTTGAGCCACTGGGAATCCGGGAAAATAATACAAGCCCTGGATTTTGACAGGTGGTCCAAATAAGGAATTCATACAAACCTGGATTCTTGACAGGTGGTCCCAAATCAGGAGGTTAGCTGGGTCCCAGGTTGATTGGGAGGCATCCGTTGATTTTTGACACCCCCCGGCCATGGAACCGGAAAGTTTGATCCGGTTCTGGGCGGCTATCCCAGAATCCAAATGCGCGGAACTTGAAACCAAGGTTTCTTCATTTGAATTGGTTTTGTGAACTCTGGTCGGTTTCGTCTTAAAATCAGGCGTCGGTCAACGATCTTGTCTACTGCAGTGAATCTTGGCACGGCCGGACCATGGCCGAAGCTCGCACGGTCACTCGGTCACGGTATCTTCTTGGCATCTTTGTTCCAGTTGCAGAAGGTCCAATGAGGATGATTCATCCGTTGACAGCAATGTGGTCGGGTTTGCTCTTTGGGGGCTCTACCACATGATTCATGGACAAAGACCCTTCGGCCTCTTCGGATTCCGTCGTCCCGCCTTCGTCCCGTCTGCCTCCGGGCTCCCGTCTGATAGATCCAGCCAGGCTCCGTGGAGTGGCTGGTGCTGGGCGCCAGCACGGTCCTGCAATCCGAGGCCGCCGCTTTCCCTGGATTGCCGCAAAAAGCTCAGGACTGGATCCAAAACGGGAAGAATTCGTCCGATTTAGGTGGACACGCAGGATTTGGCGATCATTTCCAGGGCTTTTGGTGGACATCAGAAAACATCCGCGCGCGTTCTCGCCGCTCAAGTGACGGGGTGATGGCGACGGGGTGGGGGCGGCTCGAAGCATTGCCTGGCAGAATCTCAGATGTTTTATTTTGCGGGCGGGTAAGGCGGCAACTGTTTTTTTGGTTCGGGGCACATGTTCTGAGTTGATCCCATGTTCTGTGTCACCAAACAGGCAGGGATTCCACCGAATTGAAGTTCCCCCGCGAGGCAAACCTAATGCGAGCAACCGAACAGTGTACCAACCGAAAAGACCAATCCACGCCCAAGTCTTATGTTCTGGTTCGGGGGAGAGACCCCTCGGCATATCTCCACTGGAAGCCTCGGCTTGACCCCAAGTTCTTGAGACCTCGCCAAGTCCGAGTCGAGTTCTTTGGCCTCCTATCCTTCACATGGGGATGGGCCAAATTTAACCAGTCGGGACGAATGGAATTTCGTTCATCTTGGGATACATGGTTGCACAGGCCACACTTGTTTACCTCAGCCATGGTCTAAGCTTCCTATTGCAGCCTCGGATGACACCCTGGAAAAATTACCCCAAACTAATCCCACCAAAATCAAGCCAAGAAGCTGAAAGTGATTCCAAAAGAAAGGAAAAGCAAAAGCAAAACCCTCGCCCAGTCCCCCCAACACCGAAAAGCCCTCCAGGGAAACACGGGGTGGGTGGAAACGCAGGCCTGCGGCGGGCGCTCGCTGGAGCTGGCGCTCCATCTGCAGCCGGTGGGGCTGCCCATTTTGGACCTGGCTTTGGTTGAGGGTACCCTTTTCTTGGTTGGTATTAAACAGAAACCAAAGGCAAACCCACCAGAAATATATGTATACATGGGGGGTCCCCGAAAAAGGGACAGACCCATTTCTCCTTTTAATGGATTCCAGTCTTAGGTTCCTCCAAACCATTGGAATTTGCCCAAAGCAAAAGGTCAGATGGGTCGCTTTACTTTGCTTGCCCCCCCCCCCCATCCCATGGCTTTTGCGCATGCTTTTTAGCTCGCTTATCAGTTCTTCAAAAGTCCGAGCAGAGCGTGTCTTGCTCTGGAGGGACAGCATTGACCAGCACGTGTTTGAAGCTGAAGCCGTTTTGACAGCATGATGTAAAAATAAGCACCGCGGATAATGCATATACCCTCCCACCAATCAACATGGAAGCCTGTTTGTCAGGTCCCTTTAAAAGAAGTTGTCTTTCAGGACCCCGAAACGTCGGGTTCCATGTTAGTTCTCGGGAGGGCATGTTGTTCATATCATACTGTGTTGTGGTCTTATTCTGACAAGTTCGCATCGATTCGCACAAACCTGGCCGAACAAGTTCCAGAAGGTTTCTGCAAGGTTTCTCTCAAAGACTCAGTGTGGTTTGGTGTATGAAGGCTCTCCTTCGGGTGGCTCCACTGGGAATGGCCTTTTTGATCATCGAGGCATCGTGGCAAATGTGTCATTTTCGTGTCTCCAAATCCCACGGCCTGAAAAGGCCAGGGCTCCCGCCCCCGCGCCTTGAAGGGGCGCTTCCTGAAACGGCGTGAACTTGGGTCGCGGGGTTGACCTGCGTCAGTCTTACACCTGACCCAACATTGGCCCCGAGAGGGGTGATGAAACGTTCCCTTCGCAGAAACGTCGACGAAGATCGACGCGACGAGTCGACGCACATCGAAAGGCGGCGGACTGCGTCTTGGTCTCCCGGCGCCTCGGCAG